AATGATATTATAAGACATATTTGCTTATTAAACTTCATTTTTTATTCACATACAAACTCCATATTACAAGTCCAAATGCTTATTAATATTGGGTTCCAACAAGTACAAAATCGAGGGATAGTCATAGTCCTGACCATTGAAACACAAAGCAATCGAAAAAAAAGAAAAAAAAACAAGAGTTGAAGAACGATCGCTATTACAATATCCTGATTTCTCAAATAAATATTATTCTTAAGATTTTATTAAAAATTTGATATACTATACAAATAAGATACTTATCAAATTAATTCATATATTTTATTCTGGTGTATCTTCTAATACCAAGCTAGACTGATAGTTTGGTTGAAAAAAAAAACTTTAGGATAATATAATACCTCTTAATTTCATAAAAATATTAATTAGTTTTACGGAAAGAAAATACAAGAAAATGCATGTTGATTTTCCATAGATCTCATTAATTTTCTTTAAATTCATATGGGGGCACATTTTTTATCCATCTACCTGCAAGTGTCGATGTAGGTTTTACTGTATGTTCCTCCAAGTAAACTCCATCACTTTTAGCAATCCATGAGCGCAATCCATGTTTACATGGAGTTGTTCGAGGTGATAACTGAGCCTTTACTTTATAAACATAAACATCCGTTGGAGTTAACCGAGGCGATCCTTTTAACAACCAACACTGCCACATTTCCTTTCCCAAAATAGGACCGTCTTTTGTAAGTACACGTTTTTCATTGAATTTCAAGGTGACGTTTTGGGGTCTGTTTCCACTCTCAAACTTATCATTGCACCCAACAATAAGAATCTGACCATGATCACCCAGTTTGTTTTGAATTTCCAACTTTCTTAAGTTGCACAATTGTGGATCTTGGCTCTGGCTCAACCCAAAAAACATAGCAATAACTAACACAAAAATCATGAGATTATTCATTTCTTGAAGCAAAAATATTTAACAATTTTTTTTTGTTTTTGGATTATTATTATTATGAATCTAAAGACATCATACTATTGTAGTGTTTATATATAAAAAATTATGTGGTATATATTTTTTAGTTTATTTCTTATTTTATGGGGCTGGCTAAATATAACCCAATTAATTCTCTGGCTGAAAAAAAATTTAGTTTTGAAAAGTAAGGTTGACCTATAAAACCGAACCATGTATTTTAACCGTACAAAGTATATAGCTAGTAGCTAATCACGAAAATCAAACCAAACCAAAAGTCTAAAATACAACAAAAATATTACTTACAAGTGTGTTTTTTTTTTCCTTTTAACAATATTAAACAAATATTTACTACTTATAATATCAAGTATTTTTACCAATACAACAAAACAAATTATAAACTACATAGTTTAAAATAATAATAAAAATTTGACAAGATCTGAAATTGTATCTTAAATATTTTGCAGTGGACTGCCTTATTCGCTTCTTTAATTAGGTCAATAACTGACGTATTTCTCACCACACCTACAATACAAAAAAAACGCCTAATCATGCAAGTTCAACATACTTCTTAACTGCATGTTTCTCTCCCTTTTCTTATTAACTATCAGTTTCATAGTTTTTACTTTAACAGCAGCATTTTTTTATAGTTTAATTTTAAAGTCAAAGCTATAAGTAAGACCAAGCAACCCCTAAGAAGATTAAGATAAACTTTAATTGTTCGTTTCTTGGTCAACCTAATTCTGATAGTCTCTAATTCTGATACTCTATTGGCTACATGATTGTTCGTTTCTTGGAGCACAAATATGACGAAGCACACGTTTGTGCTGGGATTTTATTTATTGGTGGAGGTGAATTGATTTCACCGGTTTTTTTTACTCAACCGTAATGGAGATTGATGACCACAATGTGGTATTATGAATATGAACCAGCTGGTAGGTTCGTTTAATTTTTTTTGGTGGTGATGATGTTTTTACCCTCTCGAAGACATCTTATTTTAATTCAACTTCTCGCCCTCGTGAGTTGTTGTTTATTTTGCAACGCGAATTACTTCTGAACATCGCAATTGCGAGTTTGTCTTTTTTACTAAACCCTACGATCGGGTATAAATATTAATTACCTGATGGTCGGATGTTGCCGATTGACCTAACGGCTGTGTATAACACAGTGATGATGACTGAATGACTGAGTATAACGTTGATATTTTGAAAATTTATCCAATCTCACATGTGTTACAATATATGAGCATGTGGGAAAGTATTAAGAGATCCATAAGATCAACCATATCAAAATTATGAAAATCATAAAGATCAAGAAGGAACTGGAAGATTATGAAAAATCTTAATTACCTTTTAATCCTAAATATATTATTTTTATTTTTTTTATCTTAAATTAAGAAACTTACATTTAGTTTAACCTTATATAAAAAATGTATTTTGTAATATTATTTTTATGAGAGTCTATTATAATTCGTCCTAAACACCTTTATGTTCTTACTTATCTCATCAATTTATCATTATAATATAATGAAATCTTTTTGTGTCATGCCTTTTCTGTCCGAAGGTTTTTTTCTTTTCTGTTAATGGTATAATTATCCAAAAATCACCACCATTTACAAATGTGTGCTTGTTTTCTAAGCTGCCTAAATAAAAGGAAGAGAGAGAGAGCTTATGAGAAAGAGAAGAAAAAGAACATAGGATAACAACTAATGCAAATGAGATTTTGTGATAGAGAAATTATTAGGTCGGCGACGATATCCCTGCAAACGAGGTATCCTGTCCGGCTGTCACAAGTTAATTATTTTTGAAGAAAATGTAGATGGCTCATATACTTTTATAACGAGACGATTCCCCTATCTAGGTTATGTTATGAAACACACACATAGATATATGCTAAGATGTCGTATCCAATAGAAATAAACGAATATGTTGAGCAAAAATGTATGTTTGCATATGTTTTAGAAGGTTGACGTAACTTATGTGTTTTAGAAGGTTGAAGTAATTTATATGAAAATAAAATGTATAATTGCATATGTATAGATTGTCAATATATGTGTTTAGGATTCATGTATTTGATTGCACTACCAGGTTTCTCATTTCATGCAGATTATATGTATGCATCTTTTAATTTTCTTTGATCACCCAAAAGCGTGAACATGTAAATTTTTAATTAATAAAATCAGATAGTTTTTTTTTTGTTTTTTTTAACGTCTGAATACTAATAACTAAAATATGCCAACTGCGATCGATGATGTTATGTAGAATGGTTATATGAAACAAAGTACAAAGCTCAAAGTAAGAAGAGGAAATGAAAGAAATTTGTCTACTTCAACCTTCTAAAAATTACTGTGTGGTAATTAAATGTTTTTTTGATTTATTTACCAAACAATTTTTTATGGGTTTTTAGCTAAATTTAAAGACAAACATAAACCAATATAAATTCTCTGGCTGAAAGCAAGGTTAGCCAATAAAATCGAACCATAAAAACCTTACAAATTATAGCTACCACCAAAATCAAACGAAACCAAAAATATAAGACACAACAAAAATATTGCAAATGTGTTATTTTACAAAAATTTTTAAACAAATGTTGCACTAGTAAAAAGAAGTACGTTTCTTGATCAATATCTGGCTGGTGTAGACCGTGAAGCAGATTATATAACTTGCAATCACAAAGTTTATTGATATCCGATCAGATCATGAGGGCAAAGCTGGCTGGTCTAGACCGTGAAGCAGCTTCCACTCCATCATCTTCACATCAGCAAGGTGACCTGCTCTTACCTCATGAAAATTGGTTCTTAATCACCCACCCTCGATTAATACTCCCAATGTTACCTGCTTCCTCTCAGTAATTTACTCTCTGCTACATCTACTCAAAAGTGCTTCTCTCGCGTGTACGAGTGTTCTCTCGTGTGTACGAGTGTTTTTACAGTTATCTGATTCATTGCGAATTTGCCTCTGTAATATATTATCTATTATCTATACTATTATTTGTGAGGTCCAAAATCTGATGTGTTATCACCACGGTGATTATTCTACGTGTCATTAATAAAAGAAATAATGTGTCATTTTAATTAGTTTTGATAGATCGATCTTTAATCTTACGTGTAAATACTCATGACATGACTATTTCTTCAGTTATGAGACAGCGATTTTGTTAATGGGCCATCGATCTTAAAGCTCGTCTTAGGCACCAATTTACCGATGTAGAAGTCGATACTAACTTAAACCCTAGCGACGATTTTCTTCAAATTTCTTTTAGCTCTTAGCTTTTACAGAAATGGATTGAAGTTGAATTTCAAATTTTTGTGGATTTTAGTATTTTGGGTTTACTTGTTTATGCATCAATTCAAAGTTCCAAGTTTAATTTACTTGATTACTTGTCGGCTTTTTGTTATACAGAACAAAAATTCTGGGTTTACCTTTGATTAAAAAATGTCGATATTTGGTATTTCATGTCGGTGAAATCATCTTCAGCTTCGAAAAAAGGGTTTCACTTTGAAAGGTAGCTGCATAATCATCGTAACTCTGAGTAGCTGATGTAACTTTCTCTAGATCTTTTTCTATTAATGTCTATTTTTTTCTATTAATTAATGTCTATCTTTTCCGAACAACATAGAAGCTATTAAGAGCATGTGCAATGGGAGAGACCATTTAGAGTCTCTATCCCTTTTTTTATTAATAAAATGTCAGGTTTTAGTAGTAGAAACCTAAGAGAGAGACTTTATATTTTTGTATGATCCAATGGGAGAAATCCTAATGGTTTCTTAAAAATCTTTTTTAAAAAATCTAGTTTTTATTTTACTTTAAACTTCTGTTTTAAATAAAGTTTACATTATATTTCTTATTAAACTTCAATTTGACATAAAAACATAAATTTTACATTAAACTTCAGTTTTTATTTTACATTACAACATTAGAAGAAATACTAAAACATTACAACAAATAGAACATAAAATATTATACATTAAACTTGTGATTGATTTTTGAGCTTAACCAAATTTTTGCCAGATATGTTCAACCAAATCAGCTTTTAATTTGTGATGCACATCTGGTGCTCAAATTTTTCTTCGGGTATCCATCATATTTATAATATTTGTTGCCATGTTTGTGGAGTACGAGTAATCCACATTAGAACTTCCGCCTCCTTCTCCTTGTTGGAATTCTTGAACATTAAAGTGTCGGTATCCTTCTCGTTCGTCTTCAACTATCATATTGTGGAGTATGATACAAGCTCTCATAATCTTTCCAAGTTTTTCTTTATCCCAAAAAAAAGCCGGATTTTTGACAATGGCGAAACGAGCTTGCAAAACTCCAAAAGCCCTCTCGACATCTTTACGGGCAGATTCTTGGCGTTCAGCAAATAAACATGCTTTTGGACCTTGTGGTTTAGGTATAGATTGGACAAAAGCTGCCCATTTAGGATATATACCATCTGTCAGATAGTACGCCAAATTGTACTCCGTTCCATTGACAAAAAAATTAACTCTCGGAGCTTGACCATTTATAATGTCATCAAAAACGGGTGACCGATCCAAAACGTTTATATCATTTAGGGTACCTGGCGGTCCGAAAAAGGCATGCCAAATCCAGAGATCGTATGAAGCGACCGCTTCTAAGACTATTGTGGGTTTCCCAGAACCTCGTGTATACTGGCCTTTCCAAGCGGTTGGACAATTCTTCCACTCCCAGTGCATACAGTCAATGCTTCCTATCATCCCGGGAAATCCGCGCTCCTCTCCCATATAAAGTAGACGTTGAAGATCGTCTGCTGTGGGTCTTCTGAGGTACTCGTCGCCAAAGAGATTTATAATTCCGTCAACAAAATTTTCCAGACATGAACGGGCTGTACTTGCACCAAGACGTAGGTATTCGTCAACGGTATCAAGTGCCGTGCCATAAGCTAATAGACGAATTGCGGCTGTACACTTCTGAAGTGCCGATAGACCAAGTCTACCCCGAGCATCTTGCTTCTGTTTAAAGAAAGTGACTTCGTTGGAGAGCCGATGAACAATACGCAAAAACAATGCCTTGTTCATCCTAAAACGTCGCCGGAAAAGGTGATCGGGGTAAATTGCGTTTTCGCTGAAGTAATCATTCCACAATCTTATATGGCCTTCCTCTCGGTTTCTTTCTATGAAAGCTCTTTTCTTCTTGGATGAGGTTGCCTCTGCTTGATCAGCTAAATCAATTATGAGGTTTTGGAATGTGTCTTCGTAAAACTGATCATAAATCTGATCATAAGTTTCATCAAAGGGATTTTGGGAAGAAGAAGCCATAAGAAAATAGAAGAGATGACAGAATTTGGTTTAAGTGAGTACGAGAATTTGGTAATTTAGAGAGGTTGGAATTGAGAAGGCAGAATGAGAATGAAAATGAGAGTATAGATTAGATGAAAGTATAGATTGTATTGAGAAACCGAGTTTGTGGTCATTGTGTATATTAAAAACGACGTACATATATATAGAAAGATGGAGAATCATTTTCTCTTAGAAAGATGGACAATAATACAAAGAACAATAATACAAAGACAAAGCCAAATATGGACCCAAAAGAACAATAATTCTCTTTGAATTTTTCACCCACATGTTGTTGTCTCTTTGTGTAAGCTGCATCTTTACTTTGATGAAGCTTTGAATTTTTCACCCGTGACTATCTTTTCACTTTATGTCTCCACAACACACTTTGAACACTGAAATACAAAGACATAAGTTTAAAAGCCAGGTCAATAAAGATTCTCCTCAAACATTAGAACATTACACATAACGGTTACTTCTAAACCATCTCCAAAAAACATTAGAACATTACACATAACAAACACATCTAACACATAACAGACAATTCTAAAACTGAAACATAACAGACACAAACATGATTTTGAAAATCATAAAAATAACAGACACCTAACAGACACATAACGGTTACAAACATGACCATCTAACAAGTTCCAAGTCACTGATTCTGCATCATTTCGGAGATTAGCTGCATCTTCAGAGCTTCTTCTTCTTCACAAAGGGGTCCCTTCGCAATAAGGGAATCAAGAAGAGCCATCTTTTGGGTTTCTTTTTTCAAAACCAGTTCTTCTCTTTTCATACCCCACATGTTTCTGAACACATTAACAGCCTCAACCACGTCGACCTTTTTGCCTTTAGCCTTTGCGGCTTTAACACCAGGAGGTCTGACCGTTCCCTGATTAGCTGCACCATTCTTGTTTCCATCTTCATTCCCCTCTGCATTTCCATCATCGGGTCTCCTCCTTTTACAGCTTGCATTGGTTTTAATGGCTGACAAATCACACCATTTTTGATCGTTCTTCAGCTCCTTCCAAGCGTGTTCCATACTGAATTTTTTCTTATGGATATTGAAGAAAATAGCATGGGCATTTTTGAGAATGTCATTCTCGTTTTGACCGCTAGTTTTTTCTCTTGTTGCAGCCTCATAAGCCCCACAGAACTTGCACACAAGATCATTAATCTTGTGCCATCTTTGTTTGCATTGTCCTGCCTCTCGGACTTCTCCTCCGTTTTGACTCGCTGCGAAATACAAAGCTATGCGACTCCAGAAAGTTCCATTTTTCTGTTCATTTGCTACAACCGGGTCCTTCGAGGTGTTTAACCACGCGCTGATGAGAAGGGTATCTTCCGCAGGGCTCCAAGGTCGTCTTATCACCTTGCTCGTCACTCCAACCTCTTCTTCTTCATCGATGGAAGCTTGGGTACCAAAGGCATGGTTTTCGAATGAAGGGTATGGATTTGGGTAAGGGTTTACACTCTCTTGTTGACTTTGTAAAAGATCAACAAAGTTTGAGGGGTTGTTAAATGGGAAGCGAGAAGACATAATGGTTGAATAGAAAGTGTTAACAACGAGAGAACAGAAAGATAGAATAGAAAGAGAGAACAGGTTGTGAGCTTTGAAGAGAATTTGACTAAGATGAATAGAAAGTGATGAGAATGAGAGAACAGAAAGAGAGAATAGAAAGAGAGAACAGGTTGTGAGCTTTGAAGACAATTTGACTAAGATGAAAGAAATGCAAAAAAGAGAAGAATTTATAAAAGCATGAATAACCACAAACAAGAAGCATTCATCATTCTACGCCTACCTTAAACACAACCATATACAAGAAGCATTCATCACAAGGGTTTAGACTTGACTAGACAGATATCTACCTTCTACATTAACTAATCCCTTATTCCATTTATTATCTAACACTACCTAAACCCATTTAATACAACTACCTAGTAAGTGATTGTACCTTACCTTTATGCAGATGTGCTTCTTCTCTCCTCTTCCTGTCATTCCGCAACATTCACTCGTCGTGCATAGAACAAAGGCGACAATAAATAAGAGTTAGCAAACAGAACCTATACAAACAACAGTTAATGAACTACAACTACACAAACAAGACATGGATAAGACGATCACAGTTAATGAAGTTCAACTATAAAGAAAACAAACAAATATAAAGAACTTGACAAACTAATACCAACGTTCAGGTTAGCTTACAACCGGAACCATAAAGTACCAATGCTCAGAACTTATTTCTTAAACAAAACAAGCAGAGTTAATGAACGTGTCAAACTATAAACAAACTTAAACATATGCAAACTGATACAAAGATGGAAGACAAACTTAAACAAACCAAAACTGATCCAAATGTAATCGTGAGATTAACTGAAACACCAATGGACTTTTATGTCGAGCATGAATTCTCCTCTTGTCTATCTTGTCGAATTACAACTCAATACAAGAACAGACAAATCAAAAACAAAATTCCACATTAAGGCGATATCAAAGCCAAAGTCGAAGACCATATCATCCTAGACTAAATCGGCATAGATCCAATCACAACCTAAACCCGATAAATCTACACCCTTTTATTAAACCATTTCATCCCAAACATAGAATCTAAATACAAAAATCAAAACAATTTCAACTTGACGCTTTGCTTACCTTCGCCGACAGAAGCTTCAATTGATCCTTCATTCCGCCAAGCAGATGTTGCGAGGACATCGACGCCTCTGTCTGAAACAATACGCAACGAGAATCCGGATAAATCGCCGACGAAGAATCCAGATAAATTGACGAACAATCACCGACGGAGAGAACGAAGACTGCAAAAAAAAACAAAGTTATCGGGTAAAAAAAAGAGAATGCATTTTCTTCCATCTTATTTTTTGGTTCCAATAACAACACGCCACGTGGTCGCCAAAAACGTTTCTCCAGTCTCTAATTTGGCGACGTCTCTCTTTTTTTTATGTGTTTTTGTTTTATTTAATTGCTAAAAAATGGCTGGAGACGCAACGTGTATACGCCGTTGCACATGGTCTAATGTCTCTATCTCCCTTCTATCTTTTTTATGACAATGTTTTAGTTGAACTTGTATCTTGTAAGCTGAATCTCTTTTTTTTGCTGCAATTACGTTAAACTCATGTTTTGAATCTCTTTTTTTTTTTTGGTATAATTAAGTAATTTTGAAAATGGTTTTATTTGGACTTATGGACAGTCCAATTGGTCATGGTCCAAAATGGATTTGGTCTTATTTGGATATGGTTCTATTTGGGTGTGGACCATTAATGTCCAGAAAATAAAAATGCCCATTTGGACAAGCCCATTTGGACATGAACAGCCCAATTGACACTGCTACCTAGCGTATCCATCGTACTATATATACCCATTTTGATCTAACAGCAAAAACACATTGTCATGACAGGCTTGCAGAGAGTGAGGCATCAAATAGGTGTGGCTTAGACTACTTACTAATTTCGCCTCTCTCGTCGATGGGTTCACCAAGAACATTCATGATACGTCCAAGGGTAGCTCTTCCAACAGGGACCTTAAAAATAAGAGCAAACCAAAAGTCATATTTTTCTTTCAAATCTTAGTCAGATTACATGGAAGAAAATAAGGCAGCATCAAGGAAATGATTAGTAATATCCACATTACATTTGGACATAGAGTTTCTTACAAATGAATAAACTTTTGAAGAAAAAATTGTATCTGAGCAAAGTCAACGTTGAGGATAAAAAGTACAAGGTGAAGCAAAATACCATCAACGAATTCACAGATCTAGACCTAGTAATGGCAACATAAAACCTATGAAATCCCGGATCAACGACTCAGATGGACGGATCCATTCACAGAAACCACTTACAGTGATTGGAGCGCTAGTGTTGAGAACGCATCGACCACGAACGAGACCCTCGGTACCATCCATAGCAATGGTTCTGACGACATTCTGACCCAAATGATGAGACACCTCGAGCACCAACCTCGTGGGATGGTCTTGCACCTCGAGTGATGTCATGATCGGAGGCAATCCCTCCTGATCCTCGAATCTTACATCAACAATGGCACCAATGACCTGGCAAACCTTCCCGATCGCGCCTTTGCCACCGTAATCATAAGTCTTCTTCCACTCATAGTCTCCAACTAATCATATCCAAACAACCTAATATAACTAGCAACCAAAAATACCAGAATTTTTTTGTAAAGTAATGTAGGACCGCGAAAATCCAATTGAAATCACGAATAGAAAATAGCAATATAATAAACGATATGTTAAAGTAAGAGATTAAAACGAGAGTTTGAAAACCAAATAAGAACAGACGAAAACACGGAGTCGAGATATGATCTCTTTTCTTAACTCAATAAATCGCCGGTAATGTGTGACCGTATGATGCGATTTTGAATCCAGGATACAACCGTGATGAGACTATTACGCAACACCCGTAATAGAATCTGCTAACTAAAACTACTACGCTATAGCTCTCGAGACACTTACGATATTAAGACGAGAAGGATTTGCTGGAAAGAATTATTTGTTGTGTGTTTGGTGTATTCGAGAATTCGATTATTCGATCATTTAGAATGAGAGAAGATGGCGTCTATTTATACTGGAAGGTTCAGCTTGATCCGCAAAGAATAAGCTTTGGCGAAAAGGAATATTCACGAGATATTCTCATTTTCCCGCAAGTAAAAGGATTCGGGATATCTTCCGTTAGTATCTGGACGCAATCTTTTATTTCCTAAGATTTATCCTTTCAATATGCAAAAAATATTTCGCATGAACTAAGAAGCCCACGACCAACACCCAGCTATATAGAGCCCAAGAGCCCAAGAGCCCTAAGAGCCAGCTAAAAATGCAACGAGCCCGAGTCCGAGCCCGAGCCCGGCACCGGCATCGGCACCGGCGACGGCGGCGCGCGTAGGTGTTTTTGCACAATGATCTTTTACTTCCACAATGTTGTTGATCCTTATTGTGAGAAAGTCATATATATACAAGAGATTTTTCTCCTTGGTGAGCAATGTGAGACAAATACACTTCCACTAAACTTCCACTTTTAGTTATACCTAATAGGAACATTTCATTTCCATAGGCTTAAACCCAAATCTCAAATAAATTTATAAGGCCCATTTGCTTATTAAAATTCATTTCTTATTCACACACAAACTCAATATTACAAGTCCAAATGCTTATTAATATTGGGTTCCAACAATCCTCCACATGAATAGAAATGAATCTATACATATGCAGACTCAATAGACTATGCAGACTAGACTCAAACTAGACTACAGAATCGACAGACGGACTTTTCGAGAGTATAAGCGAAAACTAACTGTGTCTGAGGAAGTAGCGTTTTTTCAGCCTTGAACCACTCATTGTTAATATATGTCGGATTTACTCTCCAGGAAGTGAACATGATGTCTTGAACCGCCCGGATTTTAGTGTAAACCAAATCAACAGATACAACTCAGCTTCGTCTTCTCGTAGCATTCAGTTCTCTATTGTGTTCATTGTGGCTTTGAACGTGCCTGGTTTATCATGAGTGAACTTGGAGAGTATAGCCTTGTCTTCGTTCTCCTAGAAACAGCCTCATTTCACACTGACTAGGTGATTGCCAAGTACCTGTCATATACACAGAAAGTATCCTGTTATACTCTATATACATGTATAAGAAAGCTATGGTCTTATCTCATTAAAAGCCATAAAGCTTAACCTTACATAATTACAGGAAACACTGTTTATCATCATGGAAATTGAGCATTTTACAATGATTTTCTCAGATTCTGCTCGATTTAGTTGTCCCTTTGAACCAACCTCTTGGGATCTCCAATCGCGTAGGTGGGGTTTCCATCAAAAATCCTCTTTCGTGATAGGCAAAAAGCTCATTCCCTTAGATGATTTAATGATTTGATCTCGCGGCAAGCTTTTAGTGAACGGATCCACTAAATTTTCCGCTGACTTGATGTAATCAACTGTGAGTACACCACTTGAGATCAGATGCCTAATGGTCTTATGTCATCTTCGTATGTGACGAGACTTGCCATTATACAGATTATTCAGTGCCCGAGAAATAGCTGACTGACTATCACAGTGTACACGTAATGCTGGCACTGTTTTTTCCCACATCGGGATATCTTCAAGGAAGTTCCGAAGCCACTCTTCTTCTTCGGCTGCTTTGTCTAAAGCTATGAACTCTGACTCCATGGTTGATCGGGCCAGGAGTGTATGTTTGGAAGATTTCCAGGATACTGCTGCTCCAGCGAGTGTAAAGACATATCCACTTGTGGATTTGGAATTTCTAGAATCTAAAATCCAATTGGCATCACTGTACCCTTTTAACACTGCTGGTTCTTTACCAAAGTGTAGTCCATAACTCTTAGTGTACTGCAAATAGTTCAACACCCTAGTTATTGCTTTCCAATGAGTATGACCTGGATTACTTGTGTAGCGACTTAACACGTTTACCGTATGCGCTAGATCGGGTCTTGTACAATTGGTGAAGTACATCAGACTTCCAATTACCCGTGCATACTCCACCTGTGATACTGGTTCA